ACACACACACACACACACTGAGAGAGAACAGAGCAGCGAGGCCTTTGTTGATGCACGGATGGCGGGTCGATGGTGCGTAACCCCTGTTAACCCTTCGGGGAATGATGTCGGCCACACACAAACAAACTCCATCACACCAGTTCAAATGAGCCCGTGGGTCTGGGAAACACCAAACACAAAGAACAGAAAGGAGGATACAGTGATTATGACGGAGCGGTGGTATCGAGGGACGGGGACGGGGGCGTACACAAGGCAACATAAAATACTAGAAATAATGCAGAAATTAATGCATGTGTGAAGAGAGTGGTGATGGGGGGGAAAGACAGAGACAAAGGGAGGATGGGCAAAGGTGAGAGGAGAGGATGAGAGACAAGTTAAAGATATGAGTGAGTGAAGTTTAAGTGTGTACGAAATAAAGGTGTAGAGACGGAGATACCTTTGCATTCCCCTGGTAGTTTATTTTGAAGAGCCAGACCGATATAGATGTTTGAGCACTGATGCCGATACTAGGAGTGAAACATTTCTAATACCTATATATGGGCTGATATGTAATAAAAGGAAATGAAACATAATTGCACATATTGGATTGTTTATTCTGTAAATCTGTCCAGTGATGAGGACATGCAGAGCCTGGCCAGCCTGATGAGCATGAAACAGGCAGATATTGGCAACTTGGATGACTTTGAGGAGGAGAACGAGGAGGATGAGGAGAACAGGGTTAACCAGGAGGAGAAGGCTGCGAAGATCACAGGTAAAAAGTGACACAAAGCACTTTTTGTTTCTTTAATGCAGCTGCCTAGGTATTGTTTTGGAAGATCAGAGATAAACCAGCTGAAGCTGATCAAATTCACCCATGTCACTGCTTTTTAATGTGTGTATGTCTGTGTATTCAGTAAACATGATTTTTGTGTGTCAGCTCAGTTAATGCTGCTTTTACCAGCTCTTTGTCTGATAGCTGCTGAGCGAGCTATAAAATCTTTTTAGACAACTACAATGCTGAAAGAATCCCATTGGTTTTCCCACACTGACAACTTCACTTTGGGGGACAACATCTCCCACCCTCCTGAATAATCAAACATGACCCATGCTTCACATGAGGCATCAACTTTGCTTCTCTCTTGATATTGTTTCATTCTAACTTTATGCTTCCATGAGTGTGAGCATGTGAGGAGTGAGAATTCAATGTTGTCTTCTGTTGCATAGATTGTATTTTCTTCATCACCCCTTGTTCCTGTCTTTATCCTTCTGCCTGTGTCGGTGGTGTGGCGGACTGATGGTGGCTTGCCACCTTGCATACATACATATATGTTGAGGATTCATTCTACAGTTTAATGTATGGGCCCCGCTGCTTCCTGCTTTGCTTAATCCAACTTTTCAAAGCGCCATCTCTTCATGTTAAGCTTCATGCTTTCTCTCCGCTCTCTTCACGTCCCTGCTCTTTGTCTCATTTGTATGTATATGCATTGAGTGCCTACAGCGATTCACTAGTGTGTCTCTGAATCAAAAGACTGGCCAAGCTGCCAAAACTACCTCCTATCATATTCCACCCTTGGATGTACCTTCCCATCAAGCCAGGGAGCCTCCCCAGCAATAACACACACCCTGCAAATCATGTATTCTCTTTTTACCTTCTACGTGAAATATGTAAATAATAAAAGAGAGAATGTTTTACAGCTAAGAAGGATGTGTTCTCCACGAAAATATATTTTGTTTGTGCATTTGAGTATGTATGGTAGAGTATGTTTGTATGATATCGTGTGAGTGATGTTCGGTGTTCTTTAGTCCAACATGCCAAGGTTACTAGTAGGCGACTTAAGCTGTGAAAGCTTAGAGAAATCAAAACTTTATTATTAAAGCCTTTACCTGTTTTTTGTGCATGGTATAAAATTGGTCAGGCAAATATGGTACAAATATCAGGGTTTGTGTTTGTAGTTGCAAACATACCATCAATCATATCATCATTACATGTATTTTTTAAGCTAGTTATCTAGCTAGTTCCTCACTGGAAGTGTAATACTGCAGTAGGGATGTCACTTTTTTCAAAAACAAATGAATTTGACAAGACATTAAATTGAATCAGCCTCGTCTCTGTTGGTTATTTAGTTCTCTGCCTTGTAAAATACAAAGCACTTCCACGAACACTGCTCGTCAAGCAACATGTCTCCTGAAGGTCCGCTCAGAACGGCTTTGCTAGCTAGCGTCCTCCATTTTCATAGCAAAGCAACATTACCTGACTGACCAACTTTACTCATAGGTCAAGAGGCCAAGCTGATAGTGAGCGCCCTCTGCTGGATCTCAACGTAAACTACTTCAGACGGTCTGATGCACTAATAGATTGTGTATCAAACAGGTCATTGCTGTTCAAATAATAAGTGACAACCCAATACAAGCATAATCTATGGTCCACACTTAAGTATACAAACTGTATGAGCTGTGTGTGTGTGTGTGTGTTTGTGTGTTCTCGATGGGGTGTGTTATTTTGTCTCACTGCTATTCTTCCTTCCTCCCTTCCTGTATGGCCCTGTCGTTTACAGAGATAGTAAACCAGTTGAATGCCCTCAGCTGCTTACATGGGGATGATGATGATGATGATGCTGGTTTCCTTAAGCGAGCACGCAAAGCAACCGCTAAGCCTGCCGCTTCCTCCCAAGGTCTTTCTTCATCTTTCTTTCCCCCTCCCGTTTTTCTGACTCTTTCATCGTCTTGTGACCTTTGTGTCATCTCTACCCGTTTATATATATTCATATTCCCATATAATCATTTTTCTTAATCGTTCCTTCTCCATTTCTTTTTGTTTCTCCTTGGCCCAAGTAAATCCCCAATCTCCAAGCCTCTAAAACATTTATATTGTGATTGTGTTGTGGTCATGTGGTGTTGCAGTTTATTTTGGTTCATGTCGTGATGTTTTGTACAAGGTGATGTGGACACTTGAGTTGGTGTTCATCCTTTTGGTTCCTATTCTTTGTGTTTTTGATGGTGTGAACATTCTTTTACTGCAATTGGTAGTGAACCAAACCAGGTAAAATGCATCCAAATGAACTCAACTGACGCAACAAAAATAAATCTCACCAAGACAAAAGCTGCGTTACTTTAAATAATCCAGTGCTTAATTGGATTGGGCTGGTGTAATGGAGTAAAAAGTTACAGAATGTACCAGTAAAGGCAAAGAGACCCCCGGGACCCCATAGCTGGCTACTTTTTTCCCCACTGGTCTCTATATCTTTGTGTAAAGCCTTGTGACCCTGGCAGCATGAGACTGAGCTACAGTGAGGATGAAGATAAAGTGGTCTTCGCCTCTCCAGCCAGGATCTCTATAGCAACTCCATGTGCTGCCTTCACCGTCTCCCACAGTAACCCACCACGCCACACAAGTCTTCCCAGAATGCTACTGTGCTACTCTATGTGTTGAAGTTGGCTGAGGTTGCAGAGGAGCACAGGAAAGTTAGCAAGAGGGAATTACATGCAAGTGTTTATGCTCCTGGTTCACTCCAAAGTGCAGATTGTGGTGTATTTTGGGTTTGCGTTGAATTTATTCATTTCACTCTGGGATTTTGGTATTGTTGTTGACTGTAGTTGCCATTCTTCTTTATTTTTATTGTTCACTTGTATGACTTTGGAATCTGTGCAAACAGAGCTGATCAACAAGCTGAACTTCCTGGAAGACGAGGATCAGGAAACTCCTCCTGCCATGAGCACAAATCCCTTTGAGGACCCCGAGGACGACCTTCATCCAAACCATCTTAACCCGTTTGGAGATCCTGATGAGGAGGGTATGTTTAACTCATGTGACAAAAATACTTTCAGTCTGATTTCATTGTGACTGGCTCCAGACTTTGATTTTATTTTAAATCTGTTAAACAATACGTTTTTGTTTATTTTAGGAATTAGTGGAGTAAACAATATTGAAATATTTTGACATACACATACTGGGAATGTGTGTAATCATGTGTAACTGTAGCAGGTGGGCTCCAGTGCTTTCAGATAGCTAAACCAATATTTTTGTCTGACCACTTGAGTAGCCAGCAGCATTAATGTGGATTGTTTGTTTTTTCAGTGATATGCTTCAGCACTCATGAAGCTGCTGCTGGGGTGTTTGTTTTTAAGTTTTCCTTGTGGGAATATCCATCCACATTTCTTGTGATACATCCTAATATTATAAAAGTGAAACTTTACATAGGTTTACCTTTTGGTTTTGGAAATGATATGACTGATATTTTTTCTTCAGTAGCAGCTCTGGGTATTATCTGATATTTTCAATTCCTGTGAATCTGATCATGCAAAATACATGTTACATGCATTTTGAAATTAAGCAGAATTATACTAATTCTTTTGTCTAACTATAATAAAACTAGTGATTTTAGCAAAATAAAACAATCCAGGGGAAATCCATGGGTGGAATTGGGGCTGAAGTTCTTTTGAAACAGTGCATCCATCCTCGAGGACAAACAGTCCCCTTAAATGTAATCAAAGTGCTCTAAATTGCACACACTCATAGATATTAATTTCCTAAATATGCTTCACTGGATAATAAAAGCAAAATAAACAATATGCAAACCTGACAAAGTGCACACACAATATATACAGAGCAAACAATATAAATGAAAGGACCAGTGTATTTTTTTTGTTGAAGGAATCCACAAAAAAGTCCTATTTCACAATGTTAAAGAAAAATATATGCCTCTATGTACTGATATGGCTTAAAATTTAACGGTCTTTTCTTGGCCCATGTCCCATCCTTCCACCAATGTATATGGAAATACATTCAGTGGTTTTTGCATAATCCTGCTGACAAACACACAAATGGAAAGGGGTGTAAAAAGGGGGAAATAAAAAACGCTGTGAGAAGCCAGAGAAGCAGGTAAGTCCATCATTTTTAGTCGGCTCTCTAACCAGGCGCTCTTACAAGTTATCAGAAAAGATATTATTGAATCATTGTGACCATGTTTTATTCGTGTACAATATGTGTTTTGCCTGCAGTCATTGTTCTCTCTTCTCCATCAAACAGAGCCTCATGCCCAGCCGGTCATACAGAAGCACGTCGACGATGATTCCTATTATGACCACGAATCCTCAAATCCGTTCAGTGAACCAGATGAACCAGAGACACAAAGTCCCCCAGGGAACCCCTTCGAGGACCAAGACCAAGACATAGACCCCCAGCCAGACCCAGAACCCCCAAAGCCCAGACAGAGGAAAGGTGTACGGCCTGTTGACATGAACAAGTACCTGTATGCAGACACCTCTCACAATGAGGAAGAGGAGCTTGATGAGTAAGACCTTATTTTCTTAATTCTAAGTTTCTTCATCTTTGTTCTTTCCAGTCAAGTGACACAGATGCATTCATACAATTGATCACAGACACGTATGTATTTGATCAAGCCAGATGATGAAATGCTGAGTTTTAAAAAAAACATTTTTTGTATGTGTTTTTCCATTTTAATGTGCATTAGTTATATTTGCATTTAATGTAATATAATGAAACTGAAGCAGCTTTCTTTGTGTATATCTTGAATTTGAGTCCACATGCACACCACTGAGAAAAAGGGTTGTCTGACATGGTTTCTAGTAGCTCTAGAAACAGTCTTTAAGGATCTAGCCTGCCTGGTTCGATTACTGTCAGCAGGCCAAGTCCTCTCAGACCCCTCCTTATGGAGAAGTACTTGTAGCCCCCCCATCGAGGCAGAGTGACGAAGCAGCTCATTCAACAGGAACAAGGGCCCTGTTGTTTCACTGCATTCTTGAAGCTTGTCTCCCTCTTTTCCCTCCTCTATCATTCCTTTCTTCCCTCCAATCAACTTGTTGGCCCATACTTTCCCTCCTAAACTTCCTCCTCAGACTCTTTTCATTTTTATTTCATTTGCTTCCTTTTTTCTGTTTTTCTCATCTTAATTTCTTCCTCCTTATTCCTCTCTTTCCTTTTTCCTGTTCTGCATTGCTTGTCACTCTGCAGATTTGCTCAAGCCACTTTCAGCCGTGCACTGAAAGCCGGGCGTTTTCCTGAAATTTTCCATTAGGGCTATATGCGAGAATGCTTATGTACAAGTGAGTTGCACTGGACAGCCAGCCCCCGAGTAAAATGCCCGGAAAATGTGATTGTGAGCCCACGTGAGAGTGTGGATTTATATGTTAATAAACTGTGCAGTCAAAGAGCAGGAGACCTGTTACAACCTCAGAGTTTTCATCATAACATTTAATCAGTGATTAAGAGTTGAACTTAGTTTCATACTGTGAGGATCATTTTGTCGTGCTCCTCTCTGCCGAATCTTTCACTCTGTGTGTCTGTGTGTTTCTATCTGTGTGTGTCTGTCTGTGTGTGACCTTTGCAGACGACTGGCTTTGCCTGAATTGTAAATATAAACTTTCAGGTTTTGGCTGTTGTTGAGTGAAGCTGTCACACAGATAGCTGTATGTTTTAGTCCTCTCAGCTGTCTAAAGACAGACAGGTTATTGACTGGCATGTTTCTTTTGCTCTGTCTCATACATCAGGAGCAGTTATCTGCAGAATAGAAAGTTCAAGAGGGCAACACCGTGTTTTGACTGCAGCCCTTTCACATGTCTTTTAGCCGGTGCTGGTCTGTTAAAGCTCCTCCAAAGGCCTGCCTGCCTTTCTTTTCTTCGCTTCCCTCCTTTTTTCCCTCCCTACCCTCTCTATCGCTCTGCGGTCAGATAGACACTGAGTAGCTCTAACCTTCTCTTTCAGACAGATACCTAGTCAATCAGTTTTTTTTCTTTCTCACTCTCGCTCTCAACCCCTCCACCGCTCCATCCTCTCCATCCAATTCTCTTGTTTGTTTAGGATTGCTTGTTGCATGTTGAGTGAATGTCTCAAGGCCATGCCCCTGCTTTCAGTGCCACAAGCATGCCTGTATATTGACAACACTCTGGTATGTGTGTAAGAGTTCCTATAGTGTGGCTCAGTGTGTGCGTGTGCCTTCGCGCCCCTGCCTGTCTGTCAGTAGTCCACCTTGGGCAGTGAGGATATGAGGTCACGCTGACCTGACCTCAGTGCACCTGCAGCTTCTATTACCCTACCACTTTGTGTGTGTGCTGTTCATTGTATTCCACTAAACTCTTGTTTCCATTTAGCAATTTCCTGATTAATTAAACAATGGTCAGTTGGTTGGTGCCCAATAGCTCACCTCGTTAAGCGGGCAGTTGTTCAGAGACATGAGTCAGTCAACAGAGTGCTTTTCTCGTCTCACTTAATTGTTTTGCTCCCGTGCTCATAGTGATTGAAACTTTTGTCTTATGTATCTTGTTTTCTTTAAATTTGTACAACAGCTTTAACTTAGGAATATAATAGAAAACACTAAATTGTCTACTTTTCTCAACTTTTGCTGTGTTGACAGTTATGGTTTGGTCAGTTGTTAGCAAACATTGTTGATCTTTCTTTGAGGAAAAGGGTAATTTTAGTCTTATTTTAATTTCACACACTTATATCTGTTCTCTATCTTTAGTTTCAAAGAAAACAAATCATACATTTTCTAATATGACATCTCTTTGTCTTTTTTTCTATTGTCACCTCTCCCTTCCCTCCACTCTCAGATCCAACCCATTCTACGAGCCAAGAGCATCGAGCCCTTCGCGGGCCCCTGCTGGCGGCTCCTCCCCCGATATGGGCAGAAGCCAGAAGAGGAAGGCTCCCCTGCCCCCGGGTCCCAGCTCTGGGCTTGGCCCCAGTCCACCAACTCCCAACCCACCCTGCTCTGGTCCAGACAGAGAGAGAACGCTGGCTGTCGGGCCCAGCCCAGTGGCAGCAGTGATAGGGAGAGAGCTGGTCTCCTCGTCCCCCAAGGTAAACAGGCTTCATTGAGTTAAATAAACTCTGACTCATCCCCTCAATTGGCACAAAGTACCTGGGACAACAAAACTACAAATGCAATAAGTGTTTACATTAAAATGCCGTTTAGTGCGGTGCTTAAAGCGTTCTGGGTTGTGATGTTAAAAGACTTGATCTTTTTAACGTTTTTTTCCCTAAACATGCAAAGAAAACAACAACCTCCCTTTAAAACACAAATGTTAAAATGTTGAGTGTGTAAACACAGTCAGCTGTACAAAAACTTTGTTTGCGTAGAACTGGAAACTGAAGTACAAATATGAGCAACCAACTGATGCGGTTTTTGGACGCTGACCAACATTTATGCTCAATGCTGTGGACACGTTTGTTGCTAACAAAATCAGACATAGAGGACATCGTTTTGGCATTGAAAGTGGAAAAATGGCTGGAATTTAATTTACTTAAATTATGGACAAAAACAAAGCTATAAAGATGTTGCTTCTTAGTGATTGATGGGTCCAGGGGGCTTTGCTTCCCTAATAACAATGACAAGAGTTTCACTTAGTTTTCAAAATACTGTGATTGTATCAATTTACATTAGAAAGGAACACGAACATTAACATCTAACTGAAATCTAAAATATTGGAATTCTGCAGCTTTCTGAAAAAATGCTGTTCTTAATTCTGGCTCATTCACTGCGACGTGTGTTATTATAAGTGAGTGACTTGAAGCAGTTTGTGTGTATATGCGTGTGTGTGTGTGTGTGTAAGTTTGTGTGCACTTGTGTGTGTATTTACACTTGTGAGTCCACGTCCAGTGGTCCTTACATTAGCTTTTTTTCCGCCTGCACAATCCCATCTCCTGGCCCATTCTTTATGCTCATGAAACTCCCCAGCTCCTCATTTGAATATAGGTATTTGTTTATTGGGGTGTTTTCGTATGTTTATTTATTTATTTAAATTAGTTCAATCATGTCTGGGTCTAATTAAATGGCTGATGGTCACACACACTCACTGCTGGAGTCAGACCACTGGTGGGGAATGATTGGCTGGGGGTGTGGGGAAAGGTGTGTGTGTGTGTGTGTGTGTGTGTGTGTGTGTNGGGATGGACTTTAAATGAACCCATCACATTGGTGCTAATGCTAGAATGCTAGCAGTAGCATACTAGTGATGTGTGTGTGTGTGTGTGTGTGTGTGTGTGTGTGTGTAGGGGCCCAATGAGCCTATGTGGGGCTTAAACACAGGGGGCTTAACTACAGCAGAGCGATCAGAGGGAGGTGTTGACCCCCCTGTGCACACACCCACGCACACACCCTCATATGCAAACTCCCTCTGTACAGTTACTTATACACACACAGCTCCCTCCTCCCTATGCGACGGGCTGGCTGACTGTTTTAGTGTAGCTGGGCGGTGATGCTGGCCGTCCATGTAATTATGGCACAGTGCCTTTATCACCCAGCTGCAGTTGCCTGTGACCGTGGGTGAGGGGGCCTAAACCACTTTAATTACCCAAAGCCAGTGGCCTGTGGTGGGCCACACTTCGCCAAGAGATGCCCCTGCCTCTGGAGCTCGGGGTGGAGGAGGGAGGGATGCAAAGACTGAATTGTGGGTGAGGATTGAAGGGGGTTGGGGGGGTGGTGAAGGAGAATAGGTGGAAGATAGTGAAGGGTGGAGGAGGAGAGGACTGGGGGGAAGAGAAGGAAGATGGCCAGGGAATAGTAGAAAGAGAGATAGGATGTTCACAGTAAACAAGGATGGGCCTACAGGGTTTGTTGACATATACTGCTAGTGTGAATAGGTTTCTCTCTCTTATTCACACAAGACACTACGATACACACACACACACACACACACCCGCCTCAGCCATGTGTAGGCTGCGAGATGACCTTTGAATGTATGAAGTCAGAGAGGATTAAGAGGAGACATTCCCACTATGAGAGGCCAAGACGAGAACCAACACATCATCACACTATGAACGTGTGCAGAGTATCGATGTGTGCTCGTGTCCCCATGCATGCATGCATGTATGTATCTGTTCTTATAGCTTCTGCTCTGCCTGAGGCTCATTTTAGTGAACATGTGCTTGGTTATAACCTTCCCCTAAAACACAGCCAAACTCTACTTCTCTCATATAAAAGGTGCCAAGGTTTGTATTCTCCAACTGTTCATGTTGGCATTTGTAGGAACAATATAAAAACACACACACACAGACTTTTAGGTTAAATGTCAGAATGTGAATAAAATGGATATACTGTATCAATCAATCAATCAATATCTCATTTATGTATCTGGATATTTAAGATAAGATGTACTTAATTGATCCTGTGCATAGGAAAACTTGCAGAAGGTAGTGAAAGTATAAAATAGAATCAAATTAGTACAAAAGCACCTTTCACTACAGCTGGAGTATTATTTGTAGAGAATCTTACTTTTTTATATATCTGTTGAGTGTCATATTTTGGATTTGATAAAGCTGTGTCCTCGTCACATGTGCATTTCAGATTTAGCATTAAAGATTATCCTAGATGTAATTTTATCCCCCTTGTCATTGCATTAAAAACGCCTTCTTCAGTGGCAGCTCGTGGAAAATCAGGACATGTAACGGACATACGGTGCATGCCCACTTACTCTATATGCAGGTATTACACATATGGATCGGATTTACATTAAGCTTTAACAAGAGCTAGAAGTTCTGGGTTTTTGCCAGCGGAGCAGATTCACATGTTGAGCCTTCGCAATTTATGGAGAGGACAAGATGGAAATTGCAGACGTATAACCTGCAGCATGTGTTGATTTCACAGTTCTATCCATGATATTCACCAGACTGGGTCCTTGAAAAAGCTGCAGATGCTTGTGTTGCATTGTGTTTTTCTATGACAATATGAGGTGACAGTCTGTCCCAGTGTCGACCCGGTATCTTCCTTAAATGAGGACTCAAGCTATGAATGAGCATCTTGTTTTTCCTCTATACACACTCAAAATATCACATTTGTGTGTGTGCTCTGTTTGTGTGTTGCAAGGGGTTTTGGCAGCTGAATCATTTAGTGGTATGCAATACCATAGCGTACCCGGTTTACTTTCGCTTCTGCAGTTATCACCATTTGGTGTTCACATTTGCCTTTAAATAGCTTTTGTTAGTTTGTTATCATCTTTAGATTTGTCTCCAAGTTGGTGAAAGTGGCACTTTAGTCCCTCATTAGATGCTCCACGTCTCCCATGTGTTTGTCCGTCCTGTCTTGGATATATAGATCCTCTAAGGCGTTTAAGTTTAGCGTCTGTGAAGGAGCTGGAAGGATGGGAACGTCTGTGGGATTAATTTAAATGAACAGAAAGAGTTCCTGTTGGGCGGGTTGTGAGCTCTGTCTGGTCTGATTCAGTCCATCTCTTTTCCCTCGGGCTGATTTCGTCCCCCTCCTCCCTTTGTTTCATCTCCATCTCTGTTTCATAGTCAGACCACTCTACACTTAGATGCTCTGATCTTTGGATTTTCATCAAGTTTCCGCTTCATGAATTAGTCGCCGTATTTGCATAAAAAGAAAAGTTGGAAGCTGAAATACGTCTGTGGACTAAAGTTTGATTGAAAGAAGTTCTGTGTTATTTTAATATTTACACAAAGAATCTTGGAAAGAGTAAGACGACTTCAGCTTTAAGTTGGTGGCACCTGAAACTATTGTTTTCTTCATTAAATATAGATTAACAAGTTATATTTTTGAGTTGCATATTATTATATATGTTGGTTTCAGCTCTGAAGTATAAAAACGGTGTAAATTACAGTCAGAACCATTATTCGCACACAAACTGATTCTTTCCAGAGCTGAAAAAGTAAACCAACACCAGAGATATGTTTTCTTTCTCCCCTTCAGTTGAAGGGCTTTGTGATTACTTATGTTAATCAAAGGGTTCAAATTAAATAGAGTTTTGGAGGTTGTGAGAGCTCCTGTGCCGGGGGGAGGCAGAGGCCACAGCTCTCCTTCCTCTCCCAGACTTTGTTTTCACAGCCTCCCCTTCAGTTCAGACTACCTCCAAATTGAAATTAGAATAAATTAACATTATTTAATTGAGTTCGCAGAAGGCTGCGATATTTCTTAATTAGCTTTCACCGGGGTACACGGCAGGAGAGGACCACATCCACACTGTGAAGAGTTACCGAGGTTGCCGTAACGACTGAGGGATGTTTTTAGAGGACAGAGGGGAGCCCAAGAGACAAGGACAGTCACCTTTTGTCTCATGATCTATGCTCGCTCCAAGGTCTCTCGTCTTGTTATCGTTTCATCCAGTCCAAAGTTATTTCATCTCCTGTGATAAGTTTGACATACCTTTACACAAAGACTTTTAGATGTAGGACTCGGAGAAACTGAGGCTTAAGATGATGTTGTTAAATAGGAAAAATGAATCGTCAACTTTATACCAGATATTGCAGAATGAACTGATCTAATTTATAAAAAGGTTTTTTACGACTCATAGTTTAGTGAAGAGGACAAAAACTGAATATTTTCTTGCTAAACAAAAGGTAAGGTAAAAATATTAAAATACAATAATACAGTAAGAATAATAAACTGCAAATGTCCCATCACCTTAAGTCTTGAGCTGGGACCTCGGAACAGCATCTACTGAGGCTCCGCTCTGGGTAATAATAAAAAGTAAGCTGTATGTAAATAGCCCTAAAAAGCCTGTAATTTTAGTGTTTGTATACATTGTGTACATTATTGAGTTAAAGTAAATTTTTTTAAAGATTTCTGAATTTAAAATTATTATTTATTAGCAGGTAAACTGTCAAATTAGCCTATTTCTGAAGGTATTTCTGAGGTATTGAAGCCCAAATGGCTCCCCTTGGCCACATCGGCCTTTCCATAAGCTGTGTAACATTAGGAGAATAATCCTCGAGAGGAGTGAGACGAAGTCAGTACCTTTCAATGTCTTCCTTTTCCCAGCGTGGACCCCTCCCCAACTCCCCAACTCCTATTTGCAGTCTCTGAGTGGTCTGTCATTGGATCTTGTGGGAGAGGGGAGTCCCAGTTT